AATAATAATAATAACAATAACAACACATGAAGACTCAGTGTTTCTGTATTTATGAAGTTTCTCACAATTAAATCCAAGAAGGTAAAAATTCTTTTATTCATTAACTGTAAAGTGAAATTAAAATATTTTAAATCTTGATTTTTTATTGATTTAATCTTTTAAACCAAACCCAGGACCCACTTCTGCCCGAGTCCTCCTCCAGCTTCACAGCCTTCAGCACCTCGGAGGCCTTCAGACGCCTGGACCTGGTTCTGTTTGGTTGATGTTTTGGTTGTAAAGAGTCCAAACTGACTCGATGAGGAACTGCTCTTGGTCCTTGTTTCAGAATAAGCCGAGCTTTCAGCTTTCAGCATGAACTGTGTGAAGACGTGAACGTATCGGCGGCTTAAAGGGAAACAGGAAGTGGATTCTTCAGGATTTTCATGAACTACAGGCTGGAGCTGAACAGGAACTAAAGCTGAACTAGAACTAGAAGGACCCGGTACCATGAATAGCCCTCTGCTCTGCTCCTGGCCTGTGATTGGTCGCTACCTGTAGGATCCTGTGATGGACCATAAAGCTCGGCTCCTCCTCTTTCAGAACCGTCAGAATTCTCTCATGAGCCCAGATACTTTCATGGGATGAACCAGGACAGACTCAGCGCAGCATTGAGAAGAAGCTTTAGCAGAAGCTGAAGGACGATCTCTGATCTCTGAACGTCTAAACAGAAACACCTGAGAGCACGACTCGTACTTTGTTGTTTTTTGAGAACAAAAGAAAAGAAACTAATGAAAGCTGTTGGACGCAGAGCGCATAAACCCGAGTGTTGGAGGCAGAAACACTTTCACATGTTCTGTCTGGTCTTTGGTCACGTGGTCCAGCCTTCAGTAAAAACCAGGTCACTGTAGAAAACGAGCAGTGACCAGATGAGAGTAGAAACGCTCACGCTGGTCTGGTTTTGAGATCTTTGATGCTCATTTGGTCGTCAGCTGAAGGCGTCTGTGGATCTCAGCTTCTTCTCACCCCGACAGCAGACGGTCCAGTCTCTGTCCATCGGCACCGATACCGGCCACAGCAGGCCGATGAAGCCCGCTCTGATGGTCCAGAGTACCAAGACGTGACAGAACCTCCTGGTGCACTTCAGGCAGGTGTATTTAAAGATCCAACCACAGCAGCATGATGAGCAGTAACCAAGCAGGCAGGACCGTGGACCACCAGCAAGCACAGGTTTGATCTGGGCCGGTTCAGTCCAGGTCCTGGTTTAATAAGAAACAGATCGCCGTGACTGAGGCGTTTAGTTTCTTGGGTCACAGAGCAGCTCAGCGCCTCCTTCAGGCTTCATGTGTGACAGGTTTGAATCCAGAGAACCAGCTGAACCAGCCGGATCTTACTCACAAACAAATACTAGCGTTCTGTCACAGCCGCTGGAAGTGGCGCCCCCTGTTGACAAGCCCAGAGATGGGCAGCAGGTCGATTTTGTGGCTAAAGTTTTATTTTTGTTCTCTGTTTACTTTTGTTTTCGCTTGTTTGGGGAAGTTTAGAGAAAGTTGCTGGTTTGGGTTTAAAGTCAATCAGTTCCTCCAGAACTTCCTCAGAACATCTGGTCCTTCATCTACATTAACTCTATCTACTGACCAGAGTTCTGCCTTCAGAGGTCCAGGTCCTTGAAGTCCACAGAGGAGGGTCCAGGTTTTAAAGAAAGAAACATCATGTGTCTATCTGCTGTTCTGATGAAGTTCTGAGGCTCAGAAATGATGGAAAAGGAAAATCAACGGTGTGGACGGAGCTCCCAGCATCACTGCCGACTCTGTTCAGGCTCTGCTGGACCAGCGTCCAATGGGACGCCTCGCATGAGCACCAGACCAATGAGGTTGGAGATCCCTGCAGCTGTCGTTGTGACTGAACTGTTAGTCGTAGAGTTAAAGTGTCTGAGGAGGGACATCAGAACCACATCACTACTGTCTGACTGTGGATTGGTCAGAATGAACAAACATCTGGAGTCAGACCTCTGACCGGCCACCGCATGACGACGACCAGTCTGAAGGATGTGGGCGTCTGTGAAGGTGGTTCTGGTCCCAGGATGTGAAAAACTGATGATCTGGTCTGAAGCTGTGAGAACCTCTCAGCACCTGATTAACCGTCCTGATTGGTGGGTAGCACTGACCTGTATGAGAAGAACCAAGTCCAGCAGCTAAACAGGCGGCTGATGGACAACAGCTCACCAGCATCGGTCCGAGTCCGATTGGGTTCAGTCCTCATTCATGTGTTCTTTGGGGCCCAAACTAAGTTTATAAAACACTCTGGCTGAACTTTGAGTTTGATATTTTTCACACCTGGATGTTTTCCTCTTTTTGTGTATAAACTAATCATCTAGCGTCCAGTGTCTCCTGAAATCCGTCAACCACAGCCTGAATGTTTGGGGGGACACATGGACCCATCCCAGAATTCAGTGAGTCCTGCTGGATCCATTCAACATCTGATCTGATGGAACTGTTCTGTCTGAGTCACCACATTTCTGGACTGTTGGAGTTTGATTTCTGGACATTATGAACCATTAAAGTTACAAACATTCGGCGGTCTGGAAGGTGATATAACGTACACCACCAGCAGAGGGCGCTGCAGCACCGCTACTGCTCAGCTCAGAGCCGTTACAGTGAACGACTGTTGGACGAGGATTTATACATAACAGTTTATGAAGCAGCCCTGAGATCCTCCTCAAGCAGCCGACCTGCCGTTCACACCTCCATCCAGTCCTCTCCAGACACTTTCAGCACCGTTCAGGTCTGGCCTCGTCCCTCCTCAGGCGGTTTCTCCACAAATAATACCTTGAGTCAGCCCTCTTCAGGCAGTTTGACGACCACTAACACCAGGAGTCCTCTTGGTTCAGGCCTCCCCACACATTTCACCAGAACCACCACCTTGATCCATTCGTGTCCAGGCAGGTTGACCATCTCCAGGCAGGTTGACCATCTCCAGGCAGGTTTAGCATCTCCAGGCAGGTTGACCATCTCCAGGCAGGTTTAGCATAACTAACACTTTCATCCATTCCTCCCCAAGCAGCTCAACCAGTACTAACATCCTGAGTCATGCCAATCTCAGCTAATGTACTAAATACGTGGAACTCCTCACCAGGCAGCTGCAGCCACATGAATGAAGGCGACGCGTTTAAAGAACAACAACAGAAGTCCAGTTACTTCCTCCTGAAGCTCTGAGGATCATTTGCTGCGTATAGATCTATTGGTTTCTGTGGTGTTTATACCAGGAGCTATAAACTGAGAATAGAGCAACGTAACGTCAGAAAAACGTTGATGTAACCACAAACTTCACCACTTTCTTATATTTCTGCTCATGCAGCAGTTTGATAAAAACTGAAGCTCAGACAGACGGAACAGGATCCAGACTGCAGCTCAGCTTCATGGTAAATATAATCTGTCAAACCATCCGAGAGTTTCTGGGCGTCAGTCACTGACCTGTAATCTGCTAACAGGACACTAGAGGTCAGTGTTTCATCAGTTCTACTCCAGAGACTTCCACAGTTCCACCTTCACACTGTGAACATTCCAGAGTCCACAGAGGAGGGTCCAGATTGATCACTTTAATGGACTTTTTCCATCATGTCTGAGCCTCAGAACTTCATCAGTACCGCAGATAGACACATGACATGTAGGAGGAAGAACACGTCTGGGTTCTGCTAGAACCTGACACCAGATCAGTTCTACTCTGTTTCTAAATGTTCAGTCGTCCTGAACAGAAAACCTCCTGGCTGGGATCTCACCTCATGAATTACTCTGATTCACACAATCTTGGTATTTATGCAAAAATCAATCACCGATCAGCAGGAATGTTTAGCCCACAGTAGCTGAAAGTTCAAGCTAGCTGGTGCTGCAGCAAGCTAATCCAGCATAATGCTACCAGGCTAACATAGAGGCAGCTAGCAGAGTGACCTGTACACAGATAATTACACGTTTTTACTGCTGCTGAACTGTTTTATGTCCTGTATTAGATTATAGCCAATAGTTGATCAGACATCCAGCATTAGCCAGGCGGCTAATGTTGTAGCTACCTCAAGACACATGTTCCCACAAGGACAATAAACTAAATCATGTTGTGTCGTGTTGGAACGCTTCAGGACGTTGTTGTCTTGGATCATGTTGTATCTGATGCTGTTGAGATCATGTTGGAAGACAAATGAAGTCCACAGTCAGTGTTACAGAATCACATCAATCAAGGTTTATTATGAACAGGAACAGGTAGCATACAGGAAGTCTGACATTCAGCATCATTATACATTTTAAAGTCATTGGTAATAATCATCTATCAGCTGAATCACAACTTGATAATCCCACAAAGCCACCGTCAGCAGAAAGATATGAGAAGCTGAAATAAACTGTAGGAACAGAAACAATGCTGCAGCTCATGAGCAGTGGTCCAGCCTGGTTCACAAACTGGACCAGAACAGGGAGGCAACACCTGTGTGGTGACCACAGCAACATATTGGAACAAAACCCAACCAAGATGTGCATTAAAGAGCAGAACAACACAACCCTGCTGCTGGTCTCTGGAGACGGGCCTCCTTCAGCTCTGACAAAGAAAAGACAGGAACACCTGGTGTCCAGGTGGAGGGTCGTCAGTGTAGCAACACTGGAAAGAGACTAACATGNCATCCTGCGAATCCAACTGATGTTTTCTCTGCAGCCGAACCAGAACCCACAGGCTGCTGTCTGGAGGCGGTTCTGCTTCTCTGGACCTTCCCTCAAATGGAGACCCGGATGAGTTCAGGACCGCTGCTGCCACCAGATGATCAGAATAAATCCACTGACTGGTTCTGATCCAAAATAATCAATAAGTAATAATCAGTAAAACTGTTCCTGGATCAGTGGGGCTTTCAGCTGTTCGTTGACACCAGTCATGAGCCGGGACAGAACCCATCAGAACCAGTCCAGTCTGGACACAAACCCCCTCACCAGCTTCCTCATTCTGGACTCCGGTGACGTCACGGCCGGTACCAGGTACGGACTCACCTGCGTCGGACTGAACTTCTGTCCTGAGTCCAGTGAATCCATAAGAGACGGTGTTGGTTCTGCTTCGTGATCCACCAGAGTTCAGCGTCCGGAGCGTCCCGCGGTCATGGCGGCAGGTGAGCGAGAGGGTTCGGGGAGGGTTCTGGGAGGGTTCGGGAGGGTTCTGGGAGGGTTCGGGTTAGCGGCGCTTCGGAGCCGCTGAGCTGAACGTCCCGGTGTGAGTCGGTGCTTCCGTCGGTTCGGCGGCAGGAAACAGGTGAAGGAGCGGATCGGGGAGAGCAGCAGGTAGAACACACCTGACACCTGACACCTGACCGCAGAGCTCCCATCAGCCACCGCGGCACTGGCTACGTCACAGCCCTGCTGATGACGGAGNGTGATCTGTCTGAAGTTAACTGTAGCCCTGAAAAGTCCTCATTCAGCTGCTGAACGCTGCAAAGATGTTGGAAACAACCCTGTGGTTGTGCAGCCTTCAATAAAGAATGAGGGAACTGAAAGTGAAAGCAAACAGTAACCAGACTGGTGTAGGTTGTGTTTAAAGACAAAGAAACACTCACCATTGACCTGGCTTTCAGCTGGTTAATGTTATTTTTGTCATCAAGCGTCTGTGGATCTCTGCAGGTCAGGTTCCTCTGATCCCAACAGCAGACGATCCAGTCTCCGTCCATCAGCACCGATACCGGCCACAGCAGGCAGATGAAGATCGCTCTGATGATCCACTTGAACAAAATGCAACAAAACTTATGGGTGCACTTCAGGCAGGTGTATTTAAAGAGCACCTGAAAGGATCCCTTCAACCACAGCACCATGATGATTATTAGAAATGTTGGCAGGATCATGTATACCCAGCAATCAGCGGTTTGATCTTTGCAGGAGCAGTCGAAGTCTTTGTCGAATATGACGTGATATAAAAAAATCCCAATGACTGCGGTGTAGACATCAACGGTTTTAGTGACTTGGGTCACAAAGTGTGTCAGTGCTTCTTTCAGGCTCTGCATGTTTGACAGGTTTGAATCCTCTGAAGAAAAAACAAACACATAAACAGGACCACCAGGAGGCAAAGCTCTCTCTGTGGCCAGCAGTGCATTCTTATATAGTACCAGCATATAGTGAGAAACAGTTCAGGGGGGTGGAGCTCATAGTACAAGTACAAACATGGGCTGGACTCCATCGTTCAGTGAAAAAACATATTTGCAGTCTTAGTGTGTACTTTATCTGCTCCATCTGATAAATGTCTCGTACTTTCTGAGTCCAGGTGTTCTATGTGGCGGGATTCTTTATCTTTATCTTTATTCATGTTTTGCACATCAGTGCTGCTGCAAGTACGGCATTTAAAGGGTATTTCCTGGGCGACCCATCTAGGCCATTAAGTATTCCTCCCAATAGTGCGACTACAGGGTCTTCTGGAATATTCTGTTGGAAAACCTGACTGAGGGCATCAAAAACATCTCTCCAGAAAGTTTGAATTGTATAATTCATCCTACATCCACCCAACCGGTGGAGGCAGATGGCCGTCCCTCCCTGAGCCTGGTTCTGTCCGAGGTTTTTTTTCCCCTGTGGGGGTTTTCGGTTCCTTCCCACCAGCAGACTGCTGAAGTTTATAGAGAATCCAGATGTTTGGATTGTTGGGTGTTTCTGTCTTTGTGAAGCGCTATGAGATGACTTGTTGTTGTAAATATGCGCTATACAAATAAAACTGAATTGAACTGAATTGAAAGTGCTTCATTTGGGACATAACTAGAATACATGGGTGTGATGTGGAATGTGCGTCTCACAGATTCTCCAGCATCAACTGGGATATACTGGGTTCATCTTGACTATTATTTCTGGTGTTCTAAAGAACCTTGTGATTACTGTCCATTTGAATTCCCTCCATGTGTTTGAGTTTGTGGCTCGATGTGCCTCAGTCCAAACCTCCATCCAAGTATCCTGTGAGATGTTAATGTTCACCTCCACCTCCCATCTCTGTTTAATCTGTTTAATTCAACCCAATTCAAACGCACAAAATCTGCCAGAAAGGTTAGGGTCTGTTGAATGAAAGTGCAGAATTGTAATCTGTAGGGAACTGTGTGAACTCGTTAATAGAAAGATGGCCTACAGTTTACCAATATTTTCTTCCCATTTGTATTTCCATTAAAATGTTTCTATGAGAGTGGGTTTTGTAATTTTCTCCCTTTCCTGTGTGTTGTCAAGAAGATTCTTAGTTGTAAACATCTGAAACAATCTGTCCTGGGGAGGTCAAAGTCTTCTTTTACCTGTTCAAAGGATTTAAGATTATCACCCTCCAACAACTGGTGCAGATAGACGATATCATGGCTCATCAACACCCTGCCAGATTTTCTTTTGGATTTTTGGATATCCCCTGGTTCCGAATCTTACACCATATGGAACTATCCACGCTTCACGCTAACCCTACCGGCTACCCACCCGAACATGCTCCCATGGACTCTTTAGAGCCACCTCCTGGAAGGTCCTCCAGGAGAAAGCGTGGTTCTCGGCATACCAAGACCTTGCTGCTCCCCAGTGTCGCAGAAGTCCTGCCGCTGAGCGTCGTTGCCGAGCGGGTCGACGCTGCCTCTGATCCTGTTCCTGTTCCTGAGCAGGGTGATGCCATCTCCGCTGACCTTGTTCCAAAGCGGAGTGACGCTGAAGCGCCAAATACTGGGACCAGCCAGAGCTGACTGACAATTCCACTGGAGTATAGACTGCTCCAGAGTCAGCCAACTACTCCCCTGGCAAAGAGATCTCCTTCGTCTCTGGGCTCCAGTCCGGTCTTTCAAGGGATTCCGTCTCTTTCAATGCCAAATCTGTCACAAGTGCAGTCAGATTTTGGACATTCATCAAAAAGACAGTAAAAGACTATTTAATGGCTTCTGGTTCACCAGTTTCACAACGCTGCAACATCTCAACATCGCTCTCTAGCATCGCTGTCCCTTTGGAACAAGTTCTAATTCTATTTAACAACTCTCCAGACATACCACCTTTTTGCCTCACTATGTTTTTCAACTCTGCCACTCTATAAACACTGGACCTCAAGTTGATACTAGCATCATCAACATACAGGGGTTTCCCTTTTACAGGAGGCAACTGGTAAAAGACTCCTACAGCCACAACACTCACTTTCCCAAAAGGGGAAAAATCTCTTTGTTTGATGTGCTGTAAGTTTCCATGTAGGTAAAACAGTTTCTGATCTACCATGGAGATTTCATCAGTAAGCAAACAAATGAACCTTTCTTCACCCAAAGCTGTGTATGGTAAGCGCACATCTTTTGCAATACAAAGGATGTTGTGGAAAGTTGCTGCATGCAAACTGTATGCAGCGATCCCTGTAGGAGCAGCAAACAAAACACAAATGTTGTCAGGCTGACGACACGTCCTTGACAACAACCTCATGGCCTCATATTGAATAGCCTTTATGAAGTGAGTTTTACCTGTGCCTGCACCACCTGTAATAAAAACATGGAGTGGATCTGGGGTTTTCCCTGCAGTCTTATCAAAACACCATTGCCGTATCTGATTTAAAAAACAACAGTCAGCTGTGTCTCATTCAAAGACCTAATCAAAGCCAGTCCATCACTACAGCACATATTGTTATTGCTCTTTTTCAAATGGGAAACAGGTAGCACCTGCCAGATCAACAGGCACGAGACACCTATCCTGAAACATACAATGCTGCTGTCTATCGTGCAACAGCTCATCACCAGCACATGTTTCACCACCTTCTACTTGCTCACTGTCATTTCCTGTAACTTCAGTATCTTTGTCCATACAAAACTAAACACTAAACCATGCTTCATTAAACTCTACATCTTTATAATACCTATTATGTGCACAGTGTCAACGAACTGGTACTCATAATGTCCTGTATAGGTTAACTTGCGCTTTCATTTGACAGGCACCAATGAGCCTTTTGTATTAGAACGGGCAGCACATTATTTGTCTGAACAATATTTGCAGGAACACGTCACAGGTGCATGTACTACATTTTGCCCACCTTTAGGTAACGCTAACATTTTCATAAAGGGAATGTGTAGTGTAATTAAATGTTGTTCTAAGCTGTTGGAGTCCCAGTTTGTTGATTGCACTCTCAGATGGCATTTCACCGTTACTGACCTTGTAATGACAAGTGAAACAGATCCACAGCTGACCTGTAGCACTATCCAGCCATAGACATGGGTTTCCACACTCCTCGTTACACTTATGTAGGTAGTCTTCAGCAATACATACATCTGCAACTGAAGCTATGTCTTTTCTATTGTCATACGATGACCTTTTCCACTGTAACACTTGCTGCCTAAACAACAATCTACGGCAAACACAACACACAAAATCTGGCCCATCTTTGATCTTCTCTAAAAATGTCAGCATGACAGAACCAAACTGCTGGGACTTCTCCTTCAGCTGTTTCATCCTGAGTGTGTTACCGGCTACAACACGCTTCTTATGCTCAGGATTTCCATGGTACTTCCTCGTACTCATGGCTTTTACATTCTGCCTGTGCACCTCACTTTCCATATATGTCCTTTTCTTTCTGTCCTTGTCTTCCTCCCTAAAGTAACAACTGGCAGATCGTTGCTCTGTACTGGGCCTTTGATAATATCATGAACACCTGCAATCTCAGACAAATTCCCTGTTCCTCATTAATTTAAACCCCTAAATGTACTTAAAGTTTTATATTTCATCCTCCACTTAGGATTCTGAAGAAATAACTACAACTTCCAGCAGCGTTACAATACAGCGTGATTGGACACGCCATGAAATGTGTAGTTCTTCTTGGGGTTTACAACTAGGCTTGTGTTTTTGTATTAATAAACTAAAATAAATTAACTGAAGTCCTGACAAATGTGCTACTGTTAAAGTATAATTCGTGTAGTATGAAATAAGTGTAACAGAGTACATCGTATTGTGGTATTTTTTGCGTTTTTATTACACCCGCAGTGTTTGGGGGAAATTTGCGCTTATTGCTAAGGCAACCCTGAAGAGACCGAGAAGACATCCGTCCTACAGGTTCTGTAATGTTTTTGTGTACAGTAGGTGGCGATAATGCACCTGAACGTTGGATGCCAACCGACAAATCAATAGAAGAAGAAGCAGGAGCAGCAGCAGCAGCAGCAGCTAGGCTAGTAGCTAACGTAGACAGCCTTGACGAGCTAGCTAAAAGCTGCACAAAGCTAAAGGGACATTCACCACCGCTGGCCTCTCAGTTACAACAGTCAGATTATCCATGGCTGTGATCACAGAACATGTTCCGGTCCGTTTTCCTGCATGTGTCCTTCTGTTCAGAG